AAGTTTTCCGTTAAAAGCGTTTGCGGAAAAGAGCGTCTAGATTGGCACGGACGCTTTTCTGCAAAAGCACTTTTTGAGGAAAAGCGTCCGTGGCCAATCTAGACGCGCTTTTGCGCAAAAAAGCCCCAGTCGCCATTTTAGCCATCGGAGCTTTTTTGTGCAAAACAAATCTCAGCTGTCTACACTGGCCCTTTTGCGCAAATGATTTGCACGATAGGGCTTTTGCCCAAATGGGAGCAGGACAGTATTTCCGCAAGAACACTGACAATCTTACATGAGATCGTCAGTGTTCTTGCAGAAATTCAAGCGGCCAGTGTAGACAGCTGGCAAGTTTTTCCGCAAAAGCAGCTGATTTTGCAGAAAAACTGGCCAATCTAGACACAGCCATACACTCTATAGCATATGCACCTATTTCTGTGATAGCCATGTCTGTAGGCACTTATCTCCTTCCATGGAGGAGATTCACCTGCAGCATAGGGTCCACAGGAGGCTGCAGACAACACCTTACTGCACCCCTAGGTGGTACATTGGGCTTTACACAAGTCGTCTGCTCTGGATGCAGTGGTGACATGGAGCGGTTGATGGGTGAGGCATAATTTAACAATTCAGGGCAGCACAGGACCACCCCAACCCCTGATGACTGCTCTCTCTGCAGGCCCACGCCTGCAAACCCTTTCCACTGAGCATGCACTGCTGGCTACCGCCTGGCAGGACTAGCTCCTTGGACTGTGCCATTGGTGGCTATGCCTGGCAGCAAGGCGCTTACCTCGACTCCGGCGTCTGCGGGTAACGAGCACCACGATGACGAGGAGGAGGATGAAGAGGAGCAGGGTGGCCAAGATGTAGCCCAGCTGCTGGAAGAAGTGTACCCGGCTCTCGGGGATGATGACGTTTATCACGTTATGGCCCCGGCCTGGGTTTGGATCTGGGGTTGGTGAGAGAAAGCAAAGCAGAATGAAATGGCAGCGCCTGCCATCTGCGGCAAAGCAGAACATGGGCAGGGTCCCGGGCCAAAGCTAAACCCTTTCAGATGGCAGCTTTGCCCAAAACATGCCCCCAGGTGGGGAAGCAGAAATGTTACTCCTCAATCCCTCTGTTAAATGCTGGGGAGCGCAGGAGCGCAGACATGCCCGCTGACAGGGGACTCAAGGGGGCAACTGCACAGGGGGCTTAGCATTTCAAAGGGGCCTGTGATGGGGTGGACCAGGCCCTGAAGCCCCCTGCTGGAAGCTTGTGACCTTGCCACACCCTGCCCAGCAAACCACAGAGAAGGCCTCCAGGAAAGATAGAGTGGCACAAAGGATGCGACCAATCAGGGTCCAGCAAGCCAGTTAAAAGAAAGCTGTTGGGCCAGAGTGATGCAGTTCCTGGCCCTGTTTGCGTTGCTGCAGGAGTCCTGCTCTGCCACTCTGTGCGGCGCTGAGGGGAGGGCCCAGTGCCGGGCCCCGGGTGGCGCTAAGGACTGACTGCTCTTGGCCACGCCCATTCCACCTGAGGCTCCACCCCTTCCAGGGGTGTGGAGCCGGGCCCCCCCACACCTTGCCCCCAGGCCCACGGTGGCTCTCAGCCCCCCTGGGCGCAGAACGGAGGCCATTTCCACCCCAGAAATGGCTGCATGTCAGTAAGGAATGAGTGAGCCCCAGAGATACAAGCTGTAATGTCCACTGAGATCCTGTTTGATGAAAAGTGTCCTGTGAGAGAGAGGCCTAAGGCAAAGCTCACCCCACATCCAAACACCCTCTTGTCTAGGGTTGCCAGGTGTCTGGTTTTGAACCAGACAGTCCAGTATTTGAGCCTTCTGTTCGGGAAACAAATTGAGAAAATATAAATGTCGGGTATTTTCTATCTAAGATGTCATGTAGATTGCAACGTAATGTCAAGCGTGTCCAGTATTTTTATTGAAACCATCTGGCAACCCTACTCTTGTCACTTTGGCCCTGGCTCGCCTCGGGGACAAAGGGACAAACACTGGACAGTGGCAGGGTTGTAGAATCATAGACTCACATTAACAACGTGGGGCCCTGGATTCCAAGGCAATTAATACCACACACCTCTCTGACTGTCTCAATTACTGTTCCTGCTCTCTTCATCTGAGCTGGGAGGCTCCCAACTGAGAGCAGGGCTAAGCACTGGACGTAGAGACAGCTCAGCTACGTCTAGACTGGCATGATTTTGCGGAAATACTTGTAACAGAAAAGTTTTTCCGTTAAAAGTATTTCCGCAAAAGAGCGTCTAGATTTGCATGGATGCTTTTGCGCAAAAAGTGCTTTTGCACAAAAGCATTTGTGGCCAGTCTAGACACGAATTTGCCCAAGAAAGCCTCAATCGCCATTTTAGCCATCGGGGCTTTTTTGCGCAAAACAGTTCTTCCCTGTCTACACTGGCCCTCTTGCGCAAGTATTCTTGTGCAAGAGGGCTTTTTCCCTAGAGGGAGCGTGAAAGTATTTGCACAAGAAGCACTGATTTTGTACATTACAAAGTCAGTGCTCTTGCGCAAATTCAAGCGGCCAGTGTAGACAGCTGGCAAGTTTTTGCGCAAAGATTTTGCGCAAAATCTTGCCAGTCTAGACGCACTCCTCCAGTCCTGAGGAGCGCATGATCCAGACCCCGGAAGGATTACTACCCTCAATGAGCAGAGCAGGGAGACTGGGTGATCTGAGCAGTCAGGCAGGGAAAACCCAGCAGGAAATGGACCCTGCTCTCCTGAGAGACTGGCCCGCCCTCTGCTGCACAAGGCATTAAGAATCATTCTTTCACGTGTGCTCCTTTAATGTTCCCAAGACTTTTCAGGGACGCAGAAGTGCCAGTGGGGACACTTACTGCTGATCAGAGCATCGCTCTTGTCTAGCAAAGGGGGCGCGCGCAGGGAGCAGCGAGGCCAGAGAGCCCCAAGTACCTCTGCCTGAGAGCACAGCTAGCGTTTCTGGCTACGTCAGACATGCACTGCGCTGCTTTGGCTCCAGACCGCTAACGGCTGAAACAGGCCAGCCCGTCCAAGAGGGATTATTTATGGAGTGGAAGGAATCTGCAGGGCCAAAGGCTGAATTTTGTTTTCAATAAATTAAATACATCAAAACACAGCGAAAAAAAAATCCAGAAAGCCATTCCCTTGCTGGGTGCAGCAGTTTGTCTTTTCCAGTTGCTCCTCTTCCAAGCACGGAAAGGAAAGAAAATTTGTACATGGCCTCTTTTTCTAGAATCTGAATAATTGGGTCAGTGCTCTCTCCCCATCCCCGCCGCCTCCAAAAAAAGAGAAGGAAATATTTGTTTGCAAGAGTCAGGGGGTTAGATAAATCCTGCTGCAGGAGAGACAGCAAAGCCCTGAGCTTTGCTGGGTGGTGGGAGACTTCCCTTTGAAGCAGAGTTCAAAGCGTTGCCATCTCCTGGAGACGGGGAATGTTCACACAGCCCCAGACAAATGCCAACAGAGTTAAATGCCTGTGTAAGTGAGAGAGAAGAGGGAGCATCCAAAGAGCTGTTCCACCTTGCAGTATATTCAGGCAGATTTTGCTAATGGCTAAAGCAGGGGACCAGGACTCCCGTTTGGTTCCTGGCTCTGGCACGCTCAGACTCAAACTTCCTCAATGTTCTGTTTCGTAGTTTCCCCGGGGTCTGTATGATCATTTAAAAGGCCCAAATTCTGTTCATTGTTACACCAGAGTCCATCCGGAGCAATTCCATTCCTTTGGATTTACACCGTCCCAAAGAGCAGAATTTGTAAGTGCATTTTGGTGCCTGTGAGAGCAAGGGGGTAATAGCAGAAACAAATAGCGGGCCATGAGCAGTGCACTCCTCCCACCCTACCCTGGCCCACTCTGCACAATTTTGCATCTTTCTGTCAACACTCCTAGTCTAAGCAAAGACCACTAACAGAAAAGTTTTTCCGTTAAAAGTATTTCCGCAAAAGAGCGTCTAGATTTGCATGGATGCTTTTGCGCAAAAAGTGCTTTTGCACAAAAGCATTTGTGGCCAGTCTAGACACGATTTTGCGCAAGAAAGCCTCAATCGCCATTTTAGCCATCGGGGCTTTTTTGCGCAAAACAGTTCTTCCCTGTCACACTGGCCCTCTTGCGCAAGTATTCTTGTGCAAGAGGGCTTTTTCCCTAGAGGGAGCGTGAAAGTATTTGCACAAGAAGCACTGATTTTGTACATTACAAAGTCAGTGCTCTTGCGCAAATTCAAGCGGCCAGTGTAGACAGCTGGCAAGTTTTTGCGCAAAGATTTTGCGCAAAATCTTGCCAGTCTAGACGCACTCCTCCAGTCCTGAGGAGCGCATGATCCAGACCCCGGAAGGATTACTACCCTCAATGAGCAGAGCAGGGAGACTGGGTGATCTGAGCAGTCAGGCAGGGAAAACCCAACAGGAAATGGACCCTGCTCTCCTGAGAGACTGGCCCGCCCTCTGCTGCACAAGGCATTAAGAATCATTCTTTCACGTGTGCTCCTTTAATGTTCCCAAGACTTTTCAGGGACGCAGAAGTGCCAGTGGGGACACTTACTGCTGATCAGAGCATCGCTCTTGTCTAGCAAAGGGGGCGCGCGCAGGGAGCAGCGAGGCCAGAGAGCCCCAAGTGCCTCTGCCTGAGAGCACAGCTAGCGTTTCTGGCTACGTCAGACATGCACTGCGCTGCTTTGGCTCCAGACCGCTAACGGCTGAAACAGGCCAGCCCGTCCAAGAGGGATTATTTATGGAGTGGAAGGAATCTGCAGGGCCAAAGGCTGAATTTTGTTTTCAATAAATTAAATACATCAAAACACAGCGAAAAAAAAATCCAGAAAGCCATTCCCTTGCTGGGTGCAGCAGTTTGTCTTTTCCAGTTGCTCCTCTTCCAAGCACGGAAAGGAAAGAAAATTTGTACATGGCCTCTTTTTCTAGAATCTGAATAATTGGGTCAGTGCTCTCTCCCCATCCCCGCCGCCTCCAAAAAAAGAGAAGGAAATATTTGTTTGCAAGAGTCAGGGGGTTAGATAAATCCTGCTGCAGGAGAGACAGCAAAGCCCTGAGCTTTGCTGGGTGGTGGGAGACTTCCCTTTGAAGCAGAGTTCAAAGCGTTGCCATCTCCTGGAGACGGGGAATGTTCACACAGCCCCAGACAAATGCCAACAGAGTTAAATGCCTGTGTAAGTGAGAGAGAAGAGGGAGCATCCAAAGAGCTGTTCCACCTTGCAGTATATTCAGGCAGATTTTGCTAATGGCTAAAGCAGGGGACCAGGACTCCCGTTTGGTTCCTGGCTCTGGCACGCTCAGACTCAAACTTCCTCAATGTTCTGTTTCGTAGTTTCCCCGGGGTCTGTATGATCATTTAAAAGGCCCAAATTCTGTTCATTGTTACACCAGAGTCCATCCGGAGCAATTCCATTCCTTTGGATTTACACCGTCCCAAAGAGCAGAATTTGTAAGTGCATTTTGGTGCCTGTGAGAGCAAGGGGGTAATAGCAGAAACAAATAGCGGGCCATGAGCAGTGCACTCCTCCCACCCTACCCTGGCCCACTCTGCACAATTTTGCATCTTTCTGTCAACACTCCTAGTCTAAGCAAAGACCACCCAGTCCAAGGGCGATTTTACACTCTGGTCCCAATGAGGCTAGAAAGAGACCACTGGGCTGGTCGAGGCTGGGATGTGATTGCCCATGGTTCGAACCAGGGCCGGCCCACAACGTTTTGGCACCTGAGGCGGGGAGCTCAACTGACGCCCCGATGCCACCTTGCTTGGGCCAAAACTTTGAAAGCTCTCTTGTGCCCTCCTTCCTCCAGCACAGCGCTCCACCATCTCTGCGCATCTAGAGCAGAGAGAATACATACGCACCAACAGCAGACACAATTTTCTACACTCTGGGTCCTAGTGGCACCTCTCCCCCAATCTGGCACCTGAGGTGGCCACCTCAGTTCACCTCATGGTAGGGCCGGCCCTGGTTTGAACCCAG